GAAGCATAACGGAATCACGCGCTGCCACACTCACGTTGCCTTAAGAGTGTCAACTGGAAGGGGGACATTTTGTAAATAGAACAGAACAGGGATCCTTTGGTGGAAGGAAGGGCTGAGGTTAGCACTGTTGCCTCACACCTCCGGAAACCAGGGTTCGAGTCTTTTCCCCAGCTCTATGTGTGTGGAGTTTGCATGTTCTCCCCGTGTCGTTGTGGAGTTTGCATGTTCTCCCCGTGTCGTCGTGAGGTTTCCTCTGGGTTCTCCGGTTTCTCAGCGCAGTCCAAAAGGTGTTCGTGGGTGTGAATGGTGTGTGTGCCCTGCGATGGGTTGATGCCCCATCGGGGGATATTCCCTGCCCTGAGCCCCTAACTTTTAGGATAGGTTCTGGACCCCCACAACCCTGCACAAGGCAAGCGGGTATAGAAAACAGATGGGTAGTGATACTTTGTTTGAAATTCTCCTTTCACCTGTCCTTTCTTCCTGACTATGAGACACACATATTGGTGGGGGCTAGCTTGGGGGTTACAGTGCAGGGTCAGCCAGTGTGCAGCACCCCTGCAGCTGGGGGGTTAAGGGCCTTGCTTAAGTGTCCCTCAGTCTGTCAGCCTTGGGATTTGAACCAGCTACTTTCTGATCACAGGGGCCTGCTCAACCATAGTCACTGGCAAGGGTTGTGGCTACAGAGAAGGCGGGTGGGGGGGCTGTTTGTTCTTTGTTTAAGGTATGTGAGGAAGGCCTCGCCCTAGCCGGTTTACAGAGCCTGCGCTGTGCCGCCCTTCAGGATTACCCTATCGTCCTTTCAAAATACCTGCTGTTTACTTTGGACTTGTAAAATCCAGCAGTATATTTGGGCTCTGGAAAGACAAACACGTTCGCTAGAGGTCACCTTTCGAAAAGCGAGACCTTGAAAATGGACAAAAATGAAATGGTGGTGGTGGTGGGGGGGGGGTGATATCTTTCCCCATTATTCCAGAATGAGGAAGCGCCTTCCCTGCCCTCTGCGTGCCCACAGGCGGGACCTTTCACTTTCTGTTTTAACTTTAGCTGGTAACATGTATCTACCTTCATTCTGCCATGAAATGATAGAATTCAAAACAAACTCTAGCGATCTTCCTGGACTTGAGACAACCCTGAGGAGTGTAAAAACCTTGCCCTCATCTTGAATACCATGTGTTTTTTTTTCCGTGAGGCGGGAGACATTTCTAAATCCCTTGCGAGCTTCTTGATATGAAACTGTTAATTTGTTTAAAATGTTGAGGGGTAGTTTTCTAAACTCTGCGATCACATTTCACGGAAAGTCTCTCACCATCCCCAAGGCTCTTTGGCTTTGCGTAGGGTTTCACAACTGGCCCAGCTTTCGCGGTGAAGGGATTAACGTGGGCCAGCTGAAGGTGCCCATACAGAGACCATGGGTGCAAATTTCAGTCGACGTTCAGAACAAGCTGGGATCCAGGAAAGGCTGCATCAACTCACTTTCTTCATCGGAAATCATCTTTCCAAATTCTGATTCGGCTGCAGGGAAACACAGATTGTATTCTTATTAACTGATTGATTGTTTTTCCTCCCCAATTTTAAAACAAATTCAGGATTAAATGGTACAGTACTATAGACACCTCTGGGTCTATAACCATTATAATGTTCTCATTGGTTTTAGTAAAGCTGGCACATAGACAGACAGCTGTCAAAACACTGTAAGAATTGCGTAGGGTAAGTAGCTATTTTGAGCACCACAGCTACGGTTGCACCCCGGGTGAGGGGTGTTGTATGGTGATACAGTTCTGCTCCATTTATATCTGCCTTACAGTCTCATTATAGCGTGTTATAATGCTGTCATGTAGTATTCTGTGAGATGAAGATGATCCAGTAATCAGTGCTCAACCCAGCACTGCCCCAAATCTTAGCAACAGGTCACGCAAGAAGCTTGTGTGATATTTCCACGTCAAATCATTAATTATGGAACTGAAGCAGGAAGTAAACCAGGTTATAAAAAAAACCGATGTAGAGGAAGTCGGCTCTAGGCAAGCAGAGATGCTTCTTAATGTGTCATACATCTGTGCAAAGTCTTTTACGGTTTTATAGCACTTTGAATTCCTCTTGCAGGAGGACGGGACATAGCAATGGTGTCTGTTTCCTGCCCCTACAGGTCTGTAGTGTCTGCATGGTGATTTGCAGGATTAGAGTGAAGCCCTGGGCTAAATTAATCAGGGCCATACTCTTGTCGGTGGATTAACCGTTTCTGTGAGTCAAGTCATCTGTAACGCATCCAGTTTGCTCATAGCATGGTAGTTTACCAGATGGCTGCCTGTTTGTACGCTGCAGACTCCAGCTTGTTACTAGTTTTCATATCCATCTCCAAAGTTCGGGAAATAATGCAGTTAGCAGCAAGCTAAAGGTATGTTTTAGAATAAGCATTTATATAAAAGCTTCACCTCCCAGCTTGACCAGGACATGCAGATGCCCTGAGCTTCAGCTATAAAACCCGTAGTGCTTCAGTTAATGCATGTGTGACATTTTTATCTACGGACATTTACCCACTATTACCAAACAGTACGACTGATGAAATCACCAGTGCCTTCTGGTTGGCTGGACCAGTATTTCTCAACCCAGTCCTCTGGGTCCCGCAGACAGTCTAGGTTTTACTCCCTCCCATCTCCCAGCACCAGACAATCAAGAATTCCAAATACCAGAAGAGCTGGAAGGTAGCAAAAACGTGGACTGTCTGGGGATCCCTGAGAACTGGTTTGAGAAACTTTGGACTAGACTATATGCCTTCACTGCGTGGGGGGTGGTGGTGCGGGGGTGACAAATAGGAATAGCCTCGGAACTTGTGGGTTCAAGCCTTTAGAGGACTCCCATTGTTGAATGGGGTACTTAACCTGAACCACTCCTTTTAAATATCCAGTTTCATAAACAGGTAAAAATTCGAATAGTCTTTGGAGCTTTGTGTTGAGCCCTGAATTGTTTCCATTGTTCACGTGTCCCAAATGCAGCGTGGAAGGCGGCTGGCTTTCTCACAGTCCCGTGGGACCCCCGAGAAGTCTTTGGTGATGGCTGGGACTGCGCCCATTTGGCTGATCGCACCTGGAAATGCCAGTGTTCCTGGCAGAATGGGGCTGTTGAAGATTTAGATATCCTTCAAGATCCAGCTCCGTTTTCCATGAAGACCTGAAAGCTGAAATGCATCTCCAGCAGAGATAAAGCATTATAAATTCAGTTCTGGGGGAGGGAAAATCAGGTTTCCACAAAGTTCAGCTGGTCTCATTGGGTTCGGGTTGGACTAAAACTGGAAATTGGATATGAACGTGAAACGTGAAATGTGTTTTTGGAAGCAGAAATTGACTTGATTTTATTTTTTTTAAGTTGCAAAAGGAGATGTATTGGCGAAATACCAGTATTTGAGCCTTGTATCTGGGTCAACAGAACCATACGTATTTATAACGACATCAGCCGTTATTTCAATAGCTGTGTTTGGACTGAGGATGGATTTATGACTCGTTAAAATTCAGACAATTGTAAATCAAAATTGCATAATGAAATGAAGTGTTCCACGTGTCGTTAATTTGAGAGGGTAACTGCGATGTAAATGAGCCATAAAACTGGCCTTTTCCTCAGGCCACGAAGACCACTGTTACTATAAACTGAAACCAAAGTGCAACCAAACACATGCTAATTACAGCTGCTAAATCTTCTCCAGCTATTCAGTCCCAGAAAAAGATCCTTCTGTTGAGTTTTGTGGGCCTCACCTCCATGTGCAGCTTCTACAGTAGGAACGCTTGGTTTTACTGGAGTTCTGCGTTCATACCAGCAATGAGAACTGATGGCTTTATGGAGGAAGGGGGTGGGAGGAACGCGCTGTACACTCTCTCAGCATTGAGTACACTGCAGGGAAGCTGACCAATGGCCATTAATTTAAACCATGCTCATGTTTGGGAGCTGCCAGTCATTGTTGACCTCTTGCTTCAAGTCTTTTAAGGCATCACAGCTACAAATAGAACATCTTTATTGTCATTATTCATATACAACAAAAAACTTTGCCCTCTCTCCAGTAATACTACATATTATATAAAAATAAAAGAATTATACCTGAATAGTGAACAAAAGGGCAATAGTGCAGAAGCGACTACTGGTGACGATTGGGATTCTTATGCAGTGAGAGCTAAACAGCAAGTAGCAGATTTGCTTTCTTGGAATTCTGCTGGTCACCTGTTCGGCGTTGGCTGCTGTTTGCAGCAGTTTAAAGTCCACAGCCTTGTTAATCAGGGGTTGCAGTATTCAAACTTGTTCTAAAGACTCAGTTGATCTTTGTTAAGTCTTCATTGGTTATTGTAAAGTGCAGTCTGCATCGTGTAATTTACCCCTTAATGATTAAACTGCTCATGTAGCCTAGTCACTTATGCTTGTGAAAAGGGAGTGTGTTTTGGGGAGGGGATGACATCCAGGATTAGCCCCTCTGGAGGGCGGTATGTATTTGAAAATTGTTTGAAGTTGGGAGGAGAGTTCAGAAGCAATGGTCCGTCTCGTGGTTTTTACATATGCGAGACGTGTATTTGTTTTCTGTCTGGTTCATCACCTCGTTCCGTCCTTCAGTACCCCTGTCACTGGGACCCCGTCGCCTTAAAGAACCAGATTCTCCCTAAATCACATTCTCGCTTTTCTCATCCTTTACTCATTGGTATGGGTGATGGAACGCAGCGTTATTTTACGAACCCCTGGCCCTATCTTCATGCCGGTTACAGCATCCAGAGCATGAGGAGCCCTGCAGAAACGCCACTCATAAAGCAGCCCCACTGTGGGGGAATCGCCGTACAGTGAGGAACCGGGAAATGGTCTGCAAGGCGTCTGCATTTCTAAACCTGGTCTGTACTTGATACCAAGTTCTCAGCAGCGCCAATCCAGGGAAAGCGCCACTTGCCATAATATGCCCCCGTAAAACTGGCACCCTTGTTATTTCTCTCGAGCTTCTTTTAATGAGGCATCGCCTGCATGTGTTTTCCCTGCAGGCCATACAGGACGCTTCACCAAAGCCCTGCTCTGCACCAGCCTGCTCTTCCTGCTGGCACATCTAACCTTCCAGATATGCCTGCACACCATCCCAGGGCTGGACAATGAGCTGGGACACAACTGTAAGGACCCCCTGGGTGGCTGCTGCAGAGGGCGGCCCAAGGACCTCAGCAATATTGTTCTTTTAGTCCAGAATGAGGATAAATGCTTAGATCAGAACACTTCTCAGATATCAGATTATGTTCTTTGACACTATAATATCCCCCCATTTTTCTTTTTATCTTAATGACTGGAAAGTTTTCTGTGGGTCTGTGATTCAGCCAGGTTCCCAGCTTCTTCTCTTCCACAAATTAGATTAAATAGTAACACTTTACTTGACTGAGCACAAATGATATAGTATTATGCTATTACTTATTTATTAAGTAACCACGAACTAAGTCTTAGTTATATACTGATTTCATGTCAACGTTAATGGATTGTGATGTTTTATCTCAAGCAGTTACTATATTTGTTACTATATCTGTTGATTCTGTAAACCTTTGTGAACTACTGAAGGAACAAGCAGTGAATAACAGAAGTGAAATACTGATCTCATGCTTGTTCATCTTTAATGAATTGCAACACATTTTTTACCTTATGTAGCAACTATATTTGTTCATGATGTGTTCATAATTTGTACTTCAGTAGTAACTGCGTTATTACTAAGTAATTGTGCCGCATCAAGTAAAGTGTTGCGGATTAGATTAGATTAATTCAACTTTGCTGCCATTGCACTACGTACAAATACCCAGAACTCAGTACCCAGCAGCGCTGGCTGCCCGTTGCCCATTGAAACCCAGCAGCGCTCTGACTCATCGCCGCGGAACGGGGGCCTGGCAGAGGGTGCGGAATGCTAACTGTCCTTTGCTTGGTCTTGTCTGACAGGCAGCTCTTGGGAGACCTTAACGCACCACATCGGTGTATCCAGGTATGTGTTTGGGGGCAGCTGGGGTTGGCTTTATTAGCTACTGACACACAAGCACATTGACTGGAGGGTAATGTCAAAACTGGCCCAAACCGCTTCGGATTCCACCAATCATTTCTCTGTCCAAAAATGTCACTTTTAAAAAAATATTTTCATGAATATGAAGCACATTTTGTACTCTCTTTTGCCAGCTTATGCCTTGTCGTTGTTTATTTCAACCACAATGAAATTATCCATTGAAATCAATCAATCAAGCAGTCTTTATTTATATAGTACTGTTTTAACCGCAGGGTTTACAAAGTGCTTTGCAGACATTTAAAAAAAATTCAGGAGATTCATAGCAAAATCCCACAATCAATGGCTGTGGAAATGAAAGTGAGGTCCCCCACTCATCAAGTTAGGGGGTACCCAATGTCCATATCCTAAAAATCATTAAAGATCATGAGTTGGTATCTTTGTCTATGAAAAAATATGTTCAAAATTTAACATGGGCTAATTTTTCAATTTTTTTCCTGCCAGTACCTAAATTTATTTTCACGTGTTGCTGCTTGAAACTCTCTGAAAGATCATTTGCATCTCTCTATCTTAATTACAGTTTCAACTTTAACACAGAAATACTGCTCACATTCAAATGGAAGAAAACAAAATACTAAATGGGCAGATAGTCTTCCATTGCCTCACACAGAAAAAATGGAATGACACATGCAAAATTATTTTAAGTAACAGATACCAGAGTGCTCATTATGATTTCTCGTAGGTCAAATACTCCATCGGTATAGCATTAAATACTAATCTGTGCCATCCCAAGAGCGTAGGTGGTCTGTCATCGATCCATTTCAGTAGAATGTTTTTTCTGGGCTGCAAATGCCGAAAAACTCCCTTTGATGAGAACCCTTATCATACAGACTAGGTAAACCAAGACGCAAACTCAGGTTCAGCTTCAGTATAGATAAAGGAACTTTTGCAATGTTTGTAACTTCCCACCTCTACTTGACACTTAACTCTGTCTTACTTAAATCCATTTTGTTGGAGTTTAGCCGGAGTGTTATCTGGAAGCGATACAAAATTCATAATTTCCTTATGCTTCTTGCATATAAAGATTTTATACGTTTCCATATTTCTACTCATGACATTTCAACTATTTTTAACATTAAAATCTTTTTTCCTTATGTGTCATAAATAATCGGAGTGCAGATTACTAGCTTGACAGAGACTGAAGTGTTCTTTCTTGTGCTGTGTCTTTGTGTCTGCCTGTGTATGTAACCCAAACCCCCCTCCCCCCAAAAGGTTACCCCTGAATGATCACTGGATGGTGCTGCGCCTTATAACCCCAGACCTGGGCGTCTTCCTCGCCTCGCTGGTCACCCTGATCCTTGGCTATCGGCTGATGGGCGGGAGGGATAAAGAGCGGGAATTGGAAGCTGCACGCAAGGTGAGCTGAGCACAGAGACATTTCAGGGGTCCTGGGCAAAGTGATGGTCTGTGCTTTGGGCGGATGGAGTGGGACAGCCATCCGCAGGAGCATCTTCTCGCCTTCTGCCCGCTGCACGCGCTCGATGGGGTTGAGGGTTTCCTGCCAGGCAGCTCAGGAAGTGGAAGCAGCCACGTCGCCACGCGTCAGAGAAGCCTGTGACGTGTGGCATCTCACCCCCCGGCATCCACAGCGAACAGCACAGCAGAAGCTGCCGCCCGTAATACTGAGCCCTCGTTAAAGGTGGAAAAACCCCCCCCCTGGTCCAGGTTCAAAATGTACAGCTATCTTTGCTGTGTTTTCCTGACCTTCATCGCACTGGCTGGTAGGTGGCTCTAATTGCCATGCTTTAAAATTGAATAAAAACTAGTTAAAAGATAAACAGAAAAGACCGTCGTGCAGCTGTAGCTCGGCTGTAAAACGT